TCATATTAATTCAAAAAAAAAGACTTTAAACATTTCATTTCATAAATATTGTTAATATGATAGTATTAATATAATTATTTTTATTTAATAAATAATCATAATATTTTCGAGAAACATTTCATTATTTATAATTTATTTTTTATTATGGTTTAATATATTTAATTGAATAATTATTTCATTTTGATTCTTTTACGTTTTCATTTAATTATTTATTATTTAATCCTCTATTTTATTGTACTTATAATAATTAATATCTTATAAATGATTAACATTTTACTTGCTACCCTGTATATGATTAAGCAATTGAAATGGCTATGTTGCATGAAATCTTTAAATTGTTTTCATGCTCACTGCTATCAATCCGAGCAATTTGACAAAAATTTGGTGTCAATTTGCTCGTTTTTTAGGTTAACTTGATTTTAATTTCTATTGTATAAGCTTGTACTTAATTTTTTTTACCAAATATCAATAAAATGTGATTGTGGGATAAATTTCCTACAAATGTCATGAAATTTTGTTAAGTTATATTTGCTAATTAGCAATAATTGCTAACTTAGCAGCATTGCTAGTCGTAATCCCGGCCCAGAATGTACGTAACTCTGAGAAACGTTTGGAACTCGCTTATGTTGGTTTTTTGTGTTTTTGCAAAATACAAATTACAATATTTCTGCTCGAAACATAGCAATAAAAAGTGTAAGGCAATGCTAAATAAAATCTCAATTATTTAATCTACAATCATCCTATGTTATGTTCCGAGCAGAAATATTGTGATTTGTATTTTGCAAAAACACAAAAAACCAACATAAGCGAATTCCAAACGTTTCTCAGAGTTACGTACACGGAAAAAATAAGTCGCTCAAATTTTCATCGACTTTGTAGAAGACTCTCGGAACATTAAAAACACTCATTTCTAAAAATCACGTTAACAGGCTGTTGAGAAAGTAGGCTACACTTAAAACGAATTTAGAAAAAATGTTTAAAATACTCAGCGACAGTCGAGGAAAACGAAAACTAAACGGTTGCCCTACAGCGCCAGCGTTAGAACGTTTTGTCGACAGTCGAGGAAAATAACAAGCGCGGAGCTTGCGACAGTTGAGCAAAATCAAAATCCGGTCGACCAATGAAAAAATAAAGAAAGAAATTCTCTCATTCCCTTGTGTTTATTGTATACATACATGTATACATCTATACATACATTCATATAGTTGTATTATAATCAAACACATATATTACCCCTACCTTACACATTTTAACCTAACACGAACTTAGCACTAATACGCACGCATATACATTTATATAACATCGACGGACCGACGCTTGCGCAGTTTCGCACGATGGAAATGTACTTTCTCATCGTCCTTATATATATTAAACGAAGAGATTCTTTACCACTTGCGAGAAACAGAGGGGATATTTCGTTTGGCGCTTGAGAGATTGCGCATACTTTCCGCGCACCGTTTTCCTCGACTCGTTGACAAGTATCTGTGATTCACATTATCTATTGCCCAGTTTTAAGTTCTATTACAAAAGTAACTTAAAAATTACTCCAAGTCGTTAAGTTTCTAAAACACTTGTTATACAATAATTCAGCGAATTTTTTTCCGCTACTAGGTTTCTAAAAAGTTTTCGACTTTCTTCTACAGTATCTGTCAAAGTTAAAGAACTTTTATAACCTGAGCAAAATATTCATTTAGATCCGAGACTTCTCGATTAGTCGCTTAAATTCTAAGCGACAAATTTTTTCCGTGTACATTCTGCTCTGCACTACAAAGTTACGTGATTTCCAAAATGTCTCTGAAAGTTGCGTGCATTCGACTTGGGGCTAACGATATATATATATATATATATATATATATAATATACAGGGTGTTCCAAAAGTATGGAAACTTGCAAATATCTCGAAAAGTACGAATTTTTGTAAAAAATGTTCAAGACAAAAGTTGTTCCAAACAAAAAGATGTACATCTTCGAAATAAAAAAATTTGGCCCGGATCCCAATGTTGGGCCCTACAATGAAAAAAGTGGTTTTCTTAAATGAGACCACAAATTTTCAGTATCAAATTCGTAATCCCCATGAAATTCTGCGTTCAGACATGTGGTATAAGTGCCCAAAATATTGGGCCTAATCCAAGGTATTGGTTCCAAAATTTATAAACAGATAAATAAATTTTAAAAAATCGCATCTTGGAGGGATTTTGAGATCACAGGATTAGAAATTGGAAGCTAACTTTCAAATTAGGCATAGAGCCCAATGTAAGATTTTCGGGCCAATGTGAGGCTCACACTAAAAAAAATTAGTTGTCTTAAATAAAACCCATTAATTTTTAGTATCCATTTCAGAATCCTCATGAAATTCTGGGCTTAGACTTGTGGTACAAATTCCAAAAATATTGGGTCCTCACATTGGGCTGCAGAATCTTACATTGGGCTCTATGCTCAATTTCTAATCCTGTGATCTCAAAATCCCTCCAAGATGCGTTTTTTTAAAATTTATTTATCTGTTGATAAATTTTGGACCCAATATCTTGGATTGGGCCCAATATTTTGGGCACTTATACCACATGTCTGAACGAAGAATTTCATGGAGATTACGAATTTGATACTGAAAATTAGTGGTCTCATTTAAGAAAACCACTGTTTTCATTGTAGGGCCCAACATTGGGCTCCGGGCCCAATTTTTTTGTTTCAAAGATGTACATCTTTTTGTTTGGAACAACTTTTGTCTTGAACATTTTTTACAAAGATTCGTACTTTTCGAGATATTTGCAAGTTTCCATACTTTTGGAACACCCTGTATAATATATATGTTTATATATATATACTAGAGGGGCTACGCCCCCCTGCGCGCTTCGCGCGCCAACCCCCCTATTTTTGGCGGGAAATACAGAGAGAGATGAGGGAAGGGGGAAGGACTTACTGCTTTATTAGGGTCTTAAAACAAACATAACCTCAAAATTTAGGTCAATTTTTGGCGGAGGAGGGGAAATGAGAGGAGGGAGGGGGGACTTGCGGCTATATTCAGAGCCTTGAAACGAACATAACCTCAAAATTTAGGTCATTTTTGACGGAGGAGGGGAAATAGGAGGGAGGGGGACTTGCGGCTAAATTTAGAGCCTTGAAACGAACATAACCTCAAAATTGAGGAGGGGGGACTCCCCCCTCCTAGGTCAAGAATTCTTGAAACAGCGGCGGCGGCGGAGGCGGCGGCGATATCTTTTTGTAATATATATATATATTAGGGGGCTACGCCCCCTGCGCGCTTCGCGTAGTGTCGAAATTCCACCCTAAATTTAGAGGTTAAGATCGTTTCAAGACTCTGAATATAGCCGCAAGTCCCCCCTCACCTCCCTTCTCTTCTACCCCCCTTCTCTTGACTTGCGGCTATATTCAGAGTCTTTGAACAGCGGCGGCGGCGGCGATATCTTTTTGTAATATAGGTAGATATATATATATATATTTCTTTAAAATTGTTTCTTTTTTTCATAACAATGGCGAAAAAATAACGTATGTGGCTCGCACGTAGTAATTTTTAGGTTTGGATGATTTCAATACTCGCTGTCTGTGCGACTTCGGTTCGATTTGGCTCGCCTTCGTCTCACCTACGTCGCACTAACGACAGTTCGTACTGAAAATTACATCCTTACCTAAAAAGTACTACTTTACGTGCTTGTCACATAATATACTATTAATGCACAAAAAAACGTTTTAATTGATTTATATTAAAAAAAAATCTAAAAAGTTATTTTTTTTTATTTTAACAAAATTTAATTGCTTTATGAATATTTTACTTTAAATACGTAATTTAATTTGAAAACATCTTTTCTCTCTTAAATTACTAATGTTATTAAATATTAAATTCATTTTATTAATTCTATAATGAAAATAATTCTATAAAAATATTATCAAAATTTATTTCGATTATTTAAGAATCATCTAACTTATTGTAAGACAAATTTTTAAAATTTTATTTAAGTAGGACAAATTTCTAAAATAAATTCTTAAAGTTCCATTTTTATAATTTTTTGAAGTATGATTTAAGTAATAAATTAGAATTTAAAATTTTGTCACAGTTTTTAGTTTTGACTGTAAAAAAGATTTCAGGAAATAATTAATCAAGTTTTACAGATTTTTAAATAAAAATTTTTATTAAATAATAATTTTGGAAGAGACAAAGTTTTAGTTAAAAATTTGTTAAATAATTGAAATAAAGAAGATCTAACAAAGATTTGCATTTTATAATAAAAGATCGTAATTTGTTTAAAAATTTGTAAAAAAATCATTTAAAAAATCCCATTTAATTTAAATAAGTCGAAAAAAATCGTATTTTATAAAAAAAATTGGAAAAAGTTCGAAAATTCTTCAAGAACTGTAATAATAATATTATTCTGATTAATAATAATAATAATAATTAATAATAATATTATTACTTATAATCTCTCTATCATAACATTGCCTTGTGCCATTTGACCATGGAGTAGTATAAGGAGACCGAACGACCATGTTAAATCTGCGTTAAAAGTGGACCAAATTTTGGTAACCGCTTAGTGTCATAAAAATACGTAATAGAACACTAGCGCCACTGATTGTGTTAAACTGAGCTGGACAGTCAGTCATTGTAAAAGTTTTAAAAATAAGGAGCAATGTATTTTTGGGTTATGTTCAACGTCCCAAGTAGAAATTTCCGTAGCTCGCCGTAATTAAACACCGGAATGGTACTGATCCAATACTGGCTGTCAGTATTGACTTTCAGTACTGGCAGTGTACTGACTCATACATCGAATCAGTATTATGTCGGAGGTAAAAAAATATTAAAACCAGTACTGGCATTTCACTGTCATTCACACCGAATCAGTACTTTGTCGGTTGTAAGAAAACATTAAATATAAAAAAGTCTTTAAATTATTCCAGTAGGTACAAAACGATAATTTTTTTTATTAAAAAATATGTTCGTTAATTTCTGTCCAATAATTTCCCTCAAAATTTTTGCTGTATATATATATAAATATATTTATATATTTGTTATTATTAGTTATTTTAATACTTATTGAAATATGTGCATTTAGTTATTTATCATGCATACAATAACAAAGTTCAGAATTTTTCTACAATAAGCAAGCAAACGTTTAAACCAATCATACGCAAATATTCGTCAGCAGATGACGAACGATGAGAAACAATTTGTCATTGTTTACTAGTGTTGAACGCTCTTATTACAATTAGAAATGTTTAATAAAGTAAAGCGAAAATTATTAGCCCGAGAACGAGTGGAAAAATGCAGATATTTAAAAAAACCAAAACTTGATGAAGATTCTGATAATAATCTAAGTAAGTATTTTTTTAATCATTTTAAATTCAGTAATTCTTATAGCATAATATAACCTACAAATAAAGTAGTGCAATTATTAATTATTTTTTTAACAAAAATGAGTAAATATTCCAAGAAATGCTTGTTCAGTAAATATAAATTGATTCGAAAAATTATGTAAATTGATATTTTGGATATTGTGCGAAAGTTGGTAACCTAACCTTAAAATTTTTAGTGTATATTAAAATATATGTCAAAACTAATTTAATAAACTACTCATTAATAGTGTATTGATTATTAATAGCAATTTAAACTCAAAATGACACATTATGATTTTTTATCAATAATCCACTTTTTTAAAAGTTTTAATTTTCAAAAAACAAATCAGTCTATCTTTCTTTTTTTTACTAATCCTGGTTTAGAAAATGTTTTTAATTCTTGTTGTATTTATACACGTAGCATGTATATTAAAGTTTGTATCTAATTTAAATTTCTTTAATTCTGCATTTAATTTTATCACTTTGTTTTTTTAACAGATTGAGTACATGACCCTTCTTTCATCTGGTGTAAAGACAGTTAAAAGCACAATAAATGATGTATTACCATCGTTTTTAACAAAAGAAGTTCAACTTCAATACAGTGGTTGTGGGAAATTAACAAAAGGAGTTAGAAAAGAAAACTTTTCTCAAACTAATATTCACCGATGTTTGATGGTGTGTAATTTTATTTAATATTATTCTCAAATTCATCTACATAGTTTAAATTTTCTATCTAAATATTACATTATGTTATAGGTGTGATTTTAAAACTTCTCACAACAACAAAATCGGAAATTATGTCAGCATTAAGTCGCTGGCTATCTGATGCAGTGGACAGAGATGGAGGAAAACAACAAAGACAATTAAAAAAAACAAGATAAAAATCAAAACATTCCAAATTAAAAATTTAAAGTTTTTATTTATTTTTTATCAAAAGCATAATTAAATTATGCATTCAATGGAACAAATTCAAACAAAAATGTAACGAATTAAAAATAATATTGTGTATTTAATTAATAATAAACAACAAATAGTTAATTCTTTGTGTTTTCATTTTTGCTGTTAAAAGTAGAATATCTCTAATTTATTATTACACACCTTAATACTAGATAGTTCTTTATTATTTGATAGATTTTATGTATTCTTAAATTAAATTAAAATTTTTTTTTATCATTTATATTTTATAGTCGTCTTTTATTAACTTATTTTTAATTATGTAATACATCAATCATTTTTTTCTGTTTTAAATTATTATTTATTATTATTTATTATTATGTACGGTAAAAATAATTTATTAAAAATATTTAACTGAAATTGATATCCAGTTTTATTAAGTGCGAAGTAAAAAAAATAAAATATTATGAATTTAAAAAAAAAAAATTACAACACAAATTATTTTTTGTAAAATAATTTATTAAAAATAAAATAATTTAATTAATATAGATGGTAATTATTATTTTAATTATTTATTGTTAATAATATTTTATATATTCTAAATAACATTAACTATTATTGGCTTTACATTACCTGTTTGTGGTAAAAATGGGAGTAATAAGCTAATAAGGATGAAATTTGCATTGGAAAGCGTGTTTTAGCATTTTGTAAAAAAGTGAGATTTTAAGTCCGGATGAGTACTTTGCCAGTATTATGCCAGTATTATTCTAGTACTACGTTAGTACTGGTGAGCGGGACAAAATCAGTACTGGACAGCGTTACCAGCCAGGGTTGGTCCACTACTGGCCCAGTACGGCAGTCAGTACTTTTAGACTGACTGTCAGTGTTGGGTCAGTACTATGCCAGTGGCACATTGCTACTTGGGGTACTTCTAATTTTTTCCACTGTTTACATACTTCCCACGAGAGCGCTTGTGTTCCATTACGTATTTTCATGACACTAAGTGGTTACCAAAATTTGGTCCACTTTCAATGAACGTCGTTCGGTCTCATTATACTACTCCATGGATTTGACACATTCTCTTCTGTTATATTATAGCTCTATATATACTTGCGCAGTAAACCATTTTTGGTTACCGCAGAAACTACCTATGCAGAGAGAATCTTCCTTCATTGCCCTCACTGAGTGACTATACACCGCAGTGAGAAGAGAAACATTGTCATGCGAAAGTGAGAAACTTTTCTCATCGATGAGTGAGTGAAATCAAGGTTGCCAACCTAGAAGACGTGTTGGTAAGGTAGGTATTGAATTTTTTCTTAAGAAACTATTCAATACCTACACTGTAAAAAATTTTTCGGAAATATTTCCGAAAAAATACGGACAGCACGGAACCCCATGGGGTGGAAATTTTTCCGAATAAAAATTGGGAAAAATCTCCGACATATTCCGGAAATTTTTCCTACTATTGAGTAGGAAGTATTTATGTAGCGTGGAGAGAAGAGTCGCGCGAGGTACCCTCTCTCCAAATTGTGAGAGCCAATAGAGGCCTTATTTTTCCCCCACCATGCGGAGCATGTGGAGTGCGGAGAAGGGGAAGAAGCGAGAATCAGTCGAGCGCGGGAGCTCATAGCGACAAGACGTCGTTTTAATTGCACAGCGAGAGAGAGAGAGAGAGAGATTTTCACGTGCCTTTATGCCATGCCGTCAACTTTGTACCCAGATTAACAATATTCCTCAAAATAATCGTCAGATTTTAGACTGTCGTGACTGCAGCATAGGGTTACTAGACGTACTCTTTTTAGGGCCTGCGAGTTTTTTGCGGGCGGCTTAAAATTAGTATTAGTAACTATATACTAATTACGTCTTTTAGTTAATTAATTTTTTTACAGAGAATATTTGACAAAAAAATTATTTCTCATCGTGATATTTTTTTGGGCCACAAATAATATTTTTACGTAGAAAATTTGAAAAAAAATTATTTTCTCATCGTGATATATTTTTTTTGTGCTACGAATAATTTTTTTGGTACATTTTCATAGTACAAAAAATTAATCAACTAATTATTACGGTATTTAGTTAATTAATTTTTTTAGAGAGAAAATTTGATAAAAAATTATTTTTATTATTATTTTACAAAGAAAAATTTAAAAAAATTATTTTTTCATCATGATATTTTTTTGTGCTACGAATAAATTTTTGGTAAATTTTCGTGGTAAAAAAAATCAACTAATTATTACGGTATGTAGTTAATTAATTTTTTTGGAGAGAAAATTTGACAAAAAAGTTATTTTCTTATCGTGATAATTTTGTTAGGCCACAAAATATTTTTTTATACAGAGAAAATTTAAAAATAATTAAATTTCTCATCGTGATATTTTTTTTTGAGCTACCAATAATTTTTTTACACAGAAAATTTAAAAAAAAATATTTTCTCATGGTGAAACTTTTTTTGTGCTACGAGTAATTTTTTTTGTTAATTATATTCTCATCGTGATATTTTTTTTAGGCCACAAATAATTGTCTTAAAAAAATTTTTTTACTACGAAAATTTGACAAAAAAAGTATTTTCTTTATCGTAATATTTTTTTTGTCCACAAATTTTTTTTTGGCTAATTTTCGTTGAAAAAAATTAATTAATTAATTATTAAATATGACATTATGTTATTAACAATTATTTATTAAATTAATTATTTGTCATATTTAAAATAAAATAAAATATCTAGTAAAATAAATTTTTTCAAATGTTCCCGCGCTTTGCTGATGGCTCAGCTGTGGACTTTAGTTCGCTCAACGCCACAGGGAGGGCGAACATCATAACTCTTTCTCGCAGTTGAGGTGCCATTAGATTGGTATACAAGCAGTCATCGGCGTGGACAGCCCATGACTTTACCAATAATGGTCCATTATTGGGTGCCATTATTGAAATTATATTGGCATACCTGTCTCCCATTATTGGGCCATTAATACGCCAATGGTATTTTTCCCATTGGGTTTTCATGACTACAGTTATCGTTTAAGCTCACTCTATCTGTAAATTGTAAAAATAAGTTTATCCATCTTGCATTAAAAATGCTTTTTCTTCTCGTTCTCCCTATAGAAAAACAGTTACTATTTTCCTTTTCTCATCTCATTTGCATATGAGACATTTCATATGAGAATACGGGGTCATGTCTCGGATTTTTCTCAAAATTCGATAAATTGTAGTGATAGTGGTGATGAATAAGTGTACAAATTTTGAATTTGAAATTTTTCGAGATATTTACAATAACAAATTTCAGCAATATTTTTTTGCTTTACTTATAACTTTTTCCCTACTAAAAAAAGAGAACAATGCACAGTGGCCGATTTCTCGAAAAACCTGGCCAAAAATCGAAAAATGATATGATTTCAACCAAAATTGGTATATCCATGTTTTTTGGGTTTCTGAATTCAAATTTTACATTGGTTGTGTCAAATTCAAAATGGCGGATCCAAAATGGCCGTTTAGATTTTAAAAAACTTTGCTGAAAATCGAAAAATGATACGATTTCAATCAAAATTGGTATATCCATGTTTTTTGGGTTTCTGAATTCAAATTTTACATTGGTTGTGTCAAATTCAAAATGGCGGATCCAAAATGGCCGTTTAGATTTTAAAAAACTTTGCTGAAAATCGAAAAATGATACGATTTCAATCAAAATTGGTATACTTACGTTTACTGGGTTTCTGAAATCAAATTTTACATTTGTTTTATCAAATTCAATATGGCGGATCCAAAATATTTGCTGGTATTATAAAATTGCGTAAATGTGTTAGAGCTTATTTTTTTTAAATTACAGACAGTGCTTAAATTTTAGTTTAAAGCGAATGCGAATGAAGAAAAAGTCAGTCTTTCACGTTCAGTTGCACCGCCGGCCGGTGCAACGCGCTGTCGGTAAACCGCGCTTAGTGAAATAAAAAGTGATACCAAAACTGCAGGGGCAGCTTGGGGCAACTGATTTCAATTAAAATGAATTAAAAATATATTCTAGTTTATGATAATACCAGGTAGATCGCGGATATCGGTGGATTTCACAACTATTTTCATGATTTACGTTGATAAAACAATACAAAAATCGTCGCCATGAATAGCGATGTTTAATGTCATTTTTTAAAAACTGTACGTTTTAAATGTGATTATAAATACATTCAACATATTTCATACACCTTTGTTAATAATTCCCAAAAAAAGATATTCAAAAATCTGCTGTATATTAGTATATTTTCACTATTTTAACTGTGACGAAAATTTATAGTTATGAAACGTTCTGAGTAAATCTCTGGCAAAGATCACTTTTACTTGTTCACATAATAAATTGGTGATAAAAAAAGTGTAATTTTTTTTCGCAAAATTATGCAGTGAACCCTCCTTTATAATATTCAACAATAAAAAGTATAAATTTCTAAAAAAAATTTTTTGACTTTTGGCCAGGTTTTTCGGGAAATCGGCCACTGTGCAATGATGAGAATGTTTTTTACGCAGAAGACTTTAAACTTTTAGAAAAAAATTATTTTTTTTATAAAATAGTAGTAGAGCTATGAGAGTTCTGGGACAGGTTCATATCTCGGCTAAGTTACCTACAGTCGGTAATGCAGATTTACCTACAGTCGGTAATGCAGATTTGACAACTGACGGTAATGCAGATTTACCTACAGTCGGTAATGCAGGTTTTCCAACTGTCGGTAATGTATATTTACCTAAGTCGGTAATGCAGATTTACCAAGTGTCGGTAATGCAGATTTGTCAAAGTCGATAATGCAGATTTACCAACTAATTGAAACTTAACCTTAAAATTAAACTTAATCTAAATTAAAAAGACATTAAGATATAATTTTTATACATTTATTTATCATCATCAGCTATACAACAATTACATTTATTTAATCTTAAATTCTACATGGTTGTATGGACCGCCAATGTATTTCATACGTAATTGGCCGGAAGTAGCAGCTTCTTGGATTGCAGTGAATAATGTTGGATCGCTAGTGAACAGTGTTACAAATCTGGATAGCAGGTAGCTGTTATATTTTTGTTCTATCTCAATGACTACCTTGCCTCCATGTTTGG